CATACAAACAAGCAGAATAATAGTATAGGTCTCAAAGAAACAAAATTCAGTAGAAAGCACTGATATACCTCTATATTATCAGTCTATGGGGTAGCACTAACTGTGTGGCTACAATATAGCGAGAGCTAAAGCACTATCTGAAAAACATATCACTGGTCTAACTTGAGGTTAGTATCACGCACGTACGTACTCTTATTTTTGTGATATAAAAAAAATACTGCTTCTAAGTTCGTGTTCATGTGAACATTCGGCATCTGCTCTCCATCTGCCGGTTGAATAATTACTTGAGATGTACACAAACCGAAGAAAGACTGAGCGCTCTAGCTTTAATACATAGTAATTATGACACTGTTATCATCATTGAAACTGTATGTAAGTTATTTATGGAAAACCACCGTAGAATAATGGAGCATGCTAACAAGTTATTTCAGTAGTGCATACATGTCCGTATATGATAAACAATGATTGAATTAGCTGATATACTATTGTTGTACAGAATTGTTTAAATTAGTATTATAATTTAACAATTAATAACTACTCTACATGTAGATAGTACAGTACTTTACTATAATAAAACATAGATATTTATGCTAATTTAAATCTAGCTCACCATGCAGTATTACAACAGAATGTTGATTTGTTGACTTTTCATTGAATGTTTGTGGATTTTATGTGAACAGCCATGCAATTGTTGAAACTATATTTCATTCAAAATTGCTTTCAGATTTAATCTCATAGCACCTATTTTTTTTTTTAATTCTGTGGTGGGGCATGCCCCAGAACCCCGTAGTATTAGCATGCTTTGCATGCTGATTGTGCTTTTGATCTCACAAATTAGAACTCTCTATCAAACATTCTGCATACCGGCATGAGTATGGTGCATTTTAAACCAAGATCTAAAAAGTTGCATAATGGACCCCAAATCAAAAGAATGCACATCTGTACAGAGATAAGAGGGGGACGTATTTAATTTAAGGTCAGAAGTTTGGGTTTACGTCCGGAGATGAAGAGGTTACGGAGTTGATAAGGTAACACTTTCAAGAACCGTCTTTTCTGTCAAATGTTTGAGAAGATTAATATTCTTCTAAATTGACTAGAAGTATGGAAACAAAGAAATAAAACAATGTAAGAAATCATAGCTTTTTCAGGATGATAACCAGTCCAAATCTCGTCTTAACTAACGACTCTGGAGGTATTTTAAATAAACAACTCGGCTCGTTTCATGTATAACTTTTAATACCACAGTAACACTTGTGAAGATAAGCGCATTTAGTTTAATACTTTGAATAACCCATTATCCAGTTCGCTAATTATACCGTTTTAGGTTATTAAACTGCTAATTAACTGGTATCTTAAATGAACGTTGCCGTTATTATTTTCCATGTTATTCATACTGGTGGCCTGGCATGGCCTGGTGGTAAGGGCGCTAGACTAGCTCGCCCTTTCAGCCGTGGGGGGTTATGATTTAACGATCAATCCCACTTTTTATTGGTAAAGAGCAGTCCAAGAATTGGCAATAGGTGGTTTTGACCAGCTGCTCTCCCACTAGTCTATCGCTTTTAAATTAGTGACGGCTAGCGTATATAGCCCTCGTGTAGCTTTGCGCGAAATTACTGGTATTTAGTCTGTGACAGAGACCAATGTCATTAAAAGGTTATTGCTCTCTTTATTCCTTACTAAACCGAAATTACCACTAATTCCGACATTAATGCGCGAATTTACTTATGATTGTAGTTAGTTAGTTAGAGTTTTGATTGTTCCTGTAACACTAGTTTTTGGGGCCGAAATAGGCTAAGTGTTTGGAGTGCTGGGCTGCATGTCGAAAGGTTCAATGTTTGGGCCTGCGATGTGCCGCTGAACACACTACATACTTACAACTGTTGGTACGTTAAAAAATAACAGCCAATGCAGTTATTCAGTTCAAATAGCCTGACAAAGGACTTAAGGCGGTGGGTGCTGTTGACTAGGTGCCCTTCTTCTGGCCAGTAGTTAGAAATTAGGGACGACTATATTTGACACCTAAGGAGATCTCTGACTTGGCCTTTTAGCTCATTCGACAAGTAAAATAGCTGTTGAAGTTGAAATTTTTAATTTAACACTAAACTTAAGTCTTTAATAAATCAAGTTACTACTAGAATTTATAGATTGAAGTATATTTGAATACTATTGTTTTCTGTTCACATCTGACTAATAGTTACTATAATTATGATATGCTTTAACGTTTCCACATGAACAGGGTGTGGGTTATTGGTTAGCGTGCTCGGGGCTATGAACCGAAGGTTTCGGGTTCGCAGACCGCTGCTGTAAAGATGCGCTCTGCACTATGGAATTGAGGGTGTGCTGTAAAAATTTGGTTGAATAAGATTAGTTCAAGAGTTGGCGATGGGTGCTGTTAATTAGCTGCCTTCTCTTTAATCTAACAGGTTGAATTAGGGACGATTACTCGCAGATGGCCCTTTATGTAGTTTTGCGCGAAAATTCTGAAACGAACTTTTTCACTATCTTTCCTTCCTCTCTCATTATTTGGACTAAATGTATTATATATTTCAAAATTAAAGTTGTAGTCAGAATTACAGAACAGTTAACTGACAAAATACGTTAATGACATTCAATATTGTTATTTCCGTATACTGATATTTCATATTTCTTATACCCGTTTCACGATTGTTACCAGAACTCAAACTTAACAAAATATTTTTCTCATTTTCAATCACAACCAGGCAATGTTTTTCGTCGCACATGTTTTTTTTTCTTCTATTTATTTGGTTAAGCGAATTAACTTCTTGTATTCGTACAAATCCCGAAGTATCTTGGCCACGCGTTTGCGAAATTTATC